ACCCACTGGGGATCGGCAGAGGAAGACCCACTGGGGATCGGCAGGGGAAGACCCACTGGGGATCGGCAGAGGAAGACCCACTGGGGATCGGCAGGGGCAGACCCACTGGGGATCGGCAGAGGAAGACCCACTGGGGATCGGCAGAGGAAGACCCACTGGGGTTGAGCAGGGGAAGACCCACCGGGAATCGGCAGAGGAAGACCCACTGGGGTTGAGCAGGGGAAGACCCACCGGGGACGGCAGAGGAAGAAGCACCGGGGATCGGCAGAGGAAGACCGACCGGGGATCGGCAGAGGAAGACCCACCAGGGATCGGCAGAGGAAGACCCACCGGGGATCGGCAGAGGAAGACCCACTGGGGATCAGCAGGGGAAGACCCACTGGGGATCAGCAGAGGAAGACCCACCGGGTATCGGCAGAGGAAGACCCACCGGGGATCGGCAGAGGAAGACCCACCGGGGATCGGCAGAGGAAGACCCACTGGGGATCGGAAGGGGAAGACTCACTGGGGATTGGCAGGGGAAGACCCACTGGGGATCGGCAGAGGAAGACCCACTGGGGATCGGCAGAGGAAGACCCACTGGGGATCGGCAGAGGAAGACCCGCTGGGGATCGGAAGGGGAAGACCCACTGGGGATCGGCAGGGGAAGACCCACTGGGGATCAGCAGAGGAAGACCCACTGGGGTTGAGCAGGGGAAGACCCACTGGGGATCGGCAGGGGAAGACCCACTGGGGATCGGCAGGGGAAGACCCACTGGGGATCGGCAGAGGAAGACCCACTGGGGTTGAGCAGGGGAAGACCCACCGGGGATCGGCAGAGGAAGACCCACTGGGGTTGAGCAGGGGAAGACCCACCGGGGACAGCAGAGGAAGACCCACCGGGGATCGGCAGAGGAAGACCGACCGGGGATCGGCAGAGGAAGACCGACCGGGGATCGGCAGAGGAAGACCCACTGGGGATGGGCAGAGGAAGACCCACATGTAGGAAAACTAAGTTCAGCAGGAGAATAAACAATGATGAGTTTTTATCACATCTGAGTGATGAGTGTGTCTGGATCCTCTGAGGTCAGGTCGTCCTCGCCACCGCTGAGCCTCTTGGTCGCCATCACTTTGAGGACTGAACCGTCTCCTGCAGCGACAGGCGGGAGCGCATCGGCTGGACTCCACTGAGCCGCCAAGGAAGGAGGCTGAGGAAGCTGTCCTGTTGGTGAGTGTCCAGCGTGAGGCTGATCACCCGCTGAGGATTCTGGGTAAAGCGATTCCGAGTTAACGGAGTAGTAGAAGGTGGAGGCTGAGGTGGGAGAGGGAGAGCCGCTGTGCTCCTGGGGAAAGAGTAGAAGAGAAGGTGAGGGATGGATGGATGGATGGATGATGGATGGATGGAGATTAACAGATTACTGGTGGAGCGGATGGATGGATGAGCCTGTGATTGAAGGAGGAAAAGTCAAACTTTTTAGACAGAAAGAAAGTTCAGCTGAAATTTGTTGTCATGTTTTCCTTGTATTCAGATTATTCTGATAATAATCCCAGAGATTTTTTCTTGAATTGAATTTCCGTTTGCTCATAAATCAGGATTAACAATTAAAGCTGATCACTGCAGAAACAATCAAGAACAGTAATCATCCCAGAAGCTTAAAATGTAAACAGTTGCTTCTCCAACAATCAAATGATGGAAATATCCAAGTCATTTAAAAAAATATGTTTTTGCAGCAAAATAATCTCCCCCTGAAATCTTTAAACAATCATCTCTGAACCAGAGGACATTGGTTCAGTGGCAGCTTGAATGAACCAATCAGAGCGCAGCACATGCAGCTCATTAACTTTAGTAAACAAAGTTTGCTTTTAAACTCAACAGCTTCTATGAACTTCAACGTTTATACATTTATTTGTTTTTTGATAAAAAAAAATGTCTCTGATTTAAGATATTTTACCAAGATGAAATTCCTTAAAGTCTCAAACAGATCAGGCTGTTCCGACTGAGGGTCGATCAACGATAGCGACCGCTGACTGATGTGGTTAAGTCTTTGGTCAGAGGAGAAACACCCAGCAGAGGCAGAAACTGTGGGAAAGTGACCTCTAGTTTTAGAGACTTTGGATCGCTGGCTGAGGCCTCTGACTGCTGCCCAGTCCTCTCTGCACCCGTCCCCCATGGGTCCCCCTGCAGCTGGGGGCCACAGAGGGAGGGCCTCTCGTTTCTCCTTCAGGCAGGTTCCCATGATGAAGAAGTAAACCACCCGGCGCTCGCCCATGAAACCTGCTGCAGGGTAGGGCCCCAGCTCTGCCGTACCGGGTGATGTCACGTCCCTTGACTTTTCAGTCTTCATGGCTGGAACCTACCAGGGGCTTTAAGCCCTCGACAACACGACCAAGGTGGAGGTTCAAGGATGGCTCAGTTCCCTGGACTGGCAGACTGGGGAGGTGGTTCCTGTTCCCTATAGGGGGAACCCACTGCTCAGCCTCCCTGGAGGTCTATGCCAGGGTGCTGGAGGGGAGAGTCCTCTGCTTTAGGAGCAGCAGTATGGTTCTGGCTGTGGAAAGGTGGACCAGGTAGGGAGCACCAGGGTTCATGGGAGTTGGCTCAATTGGTCCACATGTGTTAAATGGACCTGCCTGTGGGGAGCGCTCCAGGAGTCTGGAGTCAGGGGCCCCACCAGGGGCCATCTGGTGTCTGTAAAAGAGAAGCAGGAGATTGGACCTCATCAGCGGCATAGAGTCGGACCTGTTCCTGGTCCAGGTTGGACTCCATCAGGGCTGCCCTCTGGTACCGGTTCTATTCAGAACTTTATGGACTGGATTCTAAGAGCAGCCCAGGACCAGAGGGGTTCTGGTTTGGGAACCAGTGGGTTTCCTTCCTGCTTTTTGCAGACCTGGTTCTGCTGGTTCCCTCCTGCAGCATGGACTGGGGCGGGTTACTGTGAAGCAGCCAGGAGGCTTCGGCTTCCCCCGCCGGGTGGAAGGTGGAAGGGGGAAGGCTGGGAGTCTCTGCTGCCCTCTGTGACCCCTTCCTAGAGAAGACGAAGACTACGAGTAGATTTCCGTGAGGTAAAAGTAGATAAACAGGACAATCAGGAGAACGTAAACTTCTGGCTTCAGACCATTTCATTTCATATTAGATTTTTCTAAACCTCCAGGAAGAGATTATGCCGCTGCAAAGAAAGATGGGTTTTACCATCTCTTTATTCTACATCTATAAGAAGTTTACCTTTCTAACTCAAGTTGCTCTATTGATTTTTTCCGGTAAGAATTACTTTTAAAATGAACTGATTGAATGTGAGCAACAAAGTTAAAACTGGGTCATAGTCACAGAAATGCAGCTCTCATGCAGGTCCACATACAGACGAGTGATGCTGCTGCTGCTGGGGAAGAGGAGAGGATGAAGAGCGCTGGCTAGCGGGGCTGGGTGATGAAGACGATGAGCAGCAGTGAGGGGGGAGGAGGAAGGCAGTGGGCTCATTTAGGGAAGGTTACTGTGTCACTGTCACACCTCACCCTCTGGAAAACACACACACACACACACCAGGAAGCAAGCAGAAAGACAAGATGGCAGAGGGTTAGCAGAAAGACAGGGACGTTTTCTTCCGACTGGGAGGCGGAGAATCCAAAGGCTTTAGGACCTGGAAACTCTCCAGACGTGTTAGGAAAAAATAACTGTGGGCTTGGATAGAAAAATGATCCAAATGTCGTGAAAACGAAGGATAGATGCAACTAACGGCATTATTAAACCTCCATATGCTGCTGAAGTTAGTGCTGATTTGTCAGATTCCACTGCAGTCAGTTTGAGAACAACTGAGCAAAACTTGGTTTTGAATGAGAAGAACAGATTCTTCAAGTTTCAACTCATTAGCTTAGTTTCCTATTAAACTACTGTTTTGGCTTTCCTCATGTGTCCCAACATTGCTGTCACCCTGCCTTGACCTGCTACCGTCCTGCCTTGTCCTGCCACTGCCCTGCCATTGTCCTGTCACTGTCCTGCCATTGTCCTGCAACCTTCCCGCCATTGTCCTGCCTTGTCCTGTCACTATCTTGCCTTGTCCTACCACTGCCCTGCCATTGTCCCGCTACCTTCCCGCCATTGTCTTGCCTTGTCCTGCCACTTCCCTGCCATTGTCCTGTCACTGTCCTGCCATTGTCTTGTCACCGTCCTGCTTTGTCCTGTCACTGTCTTGCCTTGTCCTGTCACTGTCCTGCCTTGTCCTGCCACTGCCCTGCCTTGTCCTGTCACTGTCTTGCCTTGTCCTGCCGCTGTCTTGCCTTGTCCTGTCACTGTCCTGCCACTGTCCTGCCATTGTCTTGTCACCGTCCTGCTTTGTCCTGTCGCTGTCTTGCCTTGTCCTGCCACTGTCTTGCCTTGTCCTGCCGCTGCCCTGCCAGTGTCCTGTTACGGTCTTGCCTTGTCCTGCCACTGCCCTGCCATTGTCCTGTCACTGTCTTGCCTTTTCCTGTCAACGTCCTGCCTTGTCCTGCCACTGTCCTGCCTTGTCCTGTCACTGTCCTGCCTTGTCCTGCCACTGTCTTGCCTTATCCTGCCACTGCCCTGCCATTGTCCCGCTACCATCCCGCCATTGTCCTACCTTGTCTTGTCACCGTCCTGCCTTGTCCTGTCATCGTCCCGCCATAGCCCTGCCATTGTCCTGTCACCGTCCTGCCATCTTGTTTGGTTTTGCTGTTTTGCAGCAACTTCTTCTAAATGAGCTGCTTTTACATGAAGATCAAAGTGATTAAAAACTAAAGGATTTAAGTTTCTGACATTCCAAAGTGGTTTAACATCCAAACCACCATCACCATGACAACAGTCAGGTTCATCCAAAAATGGTGATGTCATCCGTTTGCTGCCATGGTTGACCATTTCCCCTGACTGATCAACTCTCCTCTCATTAACCCTGATTCAGTGCGAGTCAAAGCAAACTGGTGAATCTCAGGCACCAATGGCGGATGACAGTGGATAGAAATGGAAACTATGTTTTCAAAGACACTTTGAGGAACTTAATCAGTTTATTAAGGTTCCACCTGATTAGTTATTTCTGGGCAGCTGATTGGGCCGTCTTCTCTCTGGATTGACCTGCTGAATGGACACTACTCCAGAACTCATTCCAATAATTTACGTTTGGACTTTTGTTATAAAGTAAATCTTGCCTGAAATTCAAGTTGAACTTGAAAATGAGATTAGATTTGGCTCATCTTCAAACGGCGCTATTGTGGATTTAAAAAAAAACTTTACAATCATAACCTCTCACCAAATACCTTCTAGAAAAACATCTTTTGAAATCTCCACTAAGATACATTTTTATTCAGCTCTTTGAAAATGATGAAACACAGAAGCAGAAGTCCTGCCCTGTTTGATTGACGCCACCTGTCCCTTTAATAATAAACACTGAGACCCTCATCAATCAACCATTCATAGTTTTAACTTCTGTTATACGCAGCTCTACCTTTGATAAATACCACATTAATGTCAGGATAAAGGATTTAATGAGAACAATTTTGCTGTCACTGTTGCTAGGCAACTGAAGCTATGCTCAGGATGCCGCCCTGAATTGGGACCCACCCAGAGATGGAGTCCAGCTGTCTTTAGGAGTTCAAACCGTTATTTTGCAGCTGGGAATTCATCTGAATCAAATATTAGATTTCCGGTTACATCTGTGTGGATCTCTGATAAGATCCTCTTTGCCTCTCAGCAGATTTTTACCTTCAATAAATAACCTGAAGCGTCTGGTTGTAATCAGAGCCACAGTCCCCGCTCTCACTGATCCTGGACCAGCTTCATATCAGGATCCTAAAGCGTTTCCCAAACCATCCCTCCTCCGTAACGTCTTAGCCGGATTAATGACGGATCTTTAAGCTCTGCCATTAGTAGATCTTTGCTGTCCATCACAGGCAGCACATTTAT